CTTCCCCGCAGTGTGCAAAGACACAGCTATCAACTCAAGAGGCTTGACAGCAACACACAGTGGGGCTGTTTTTCTACTGTATCTTAATAGGTAGTACTAGTTGAGCATCTGCAGATGGCGCAAGAAAAAAAAACAACAACAAATTATGAAGGAAAAAAAAAATAGAAGAGCCCTGGTGGGTTCTTATAGTGTACTACTCCTTCACTAGTTCAGATTGATGCAGTAAAACATTGTTGCTGTGTGTGTGTGTTTGTAAAATTTGCTGCACACATATTTTTCAGCATTTTATGATTGCTTTATGTCAGAAAACTGAGGGATTGCAGTAGAACAAAGAGCTAGAGAAGTGCCCCAACCTACAGTCCCAGAAAGCCGTGAATGAGAATACCTGTTATTGATCTGTCCTAATTACAAGAGTCAGTATAATTTATGGCTTTCAGGTTTACCAGAAGTCACTTATATTGCATACTAAGTTGGGCAATCATTTCTAATGGCAGGTGATCAAATGATATACTGCTCTGCCAAACAAAAACAGCATGTGACAAACGTGGGTTTAAAAGCGAGACTGGTGCCACGTTGCCAAGCAAAGCTTTCAGAGCTGAGGTGTTGCTTTTATGCTCCCTCTAAACTACTATTGATAGCGAACCATGTCATAAACCACAATCTTGTGTATCGCTTTCCAAACGTCAATACAGTGCCAAAAATATAAAAGTAACTGCAATGCTTTTAAGATGTTTGACCAATTTCCCATTGTTCTTTCAGCGTTTTGTCCACCTTATCCATAGCATCAAAAGGAGACGCATCTTTGCGACTGCATTCTCCTCCGTCGACCTCTTTGAGTTTGATGAATGCATTGAAAACTGTTGTCTGCCCATGTAGACTGTAAAATTCAATGTACAATGGGACGTTCACCACTGAGCTTGTTGATGCTGATTGTGAGACCCGGGCTTCGCTCCCAACACTTAGTAGATCATCGTAATTAAAACATAAATTGGAGGTATTGAGCCGCACGCAGTCGCGGCTCCAGGGCAGCATTGATTCATGCATGCACTTTGCAACAACTGCTCTGCTTTGCACATAGTAAAATATAAAAAGCCTTGTAAATAAAATCAATACTAAACAAGCTCTTCAAATAGCAGACAGTGAGTTACAATCGGGAGTTATAGATGTATGAGTGAGAATGGACACATGGAAGAGATGAAAGCTTCACCATGAATGCAGGATGAGATACAGTACATTTGTGGTATGGACCTATATATATCTCAAGAATATTGATTTATTGATTGATTTTGATGGCCCAGTGAGTATTTGAAAGGATTGGAGTTGCAGAAATGTTGCTATGCTAGTCTGATATGAGTTAGCTGCACAAACACATACATTTTACACTTCAGGCTTAGCCAAAGCCTTCCCACACTATCCCACAACTAAATTCAATCACACTGTCGAAAAATACCTTCAAAAACGAACACAAAAGAGGAAAACCTGAAAATATTGAATTAAAAAAACCCTTGTAGCTCAAATTCAAATGTATTTGTGCTGAGCAGCTCAGTCAGCCATATTTGTTAGTTTGAAAGCCGTCCTAATTTAACCCAAATCCATAGAAAATGAGTCACGCTTGAGATCGTCAACAACAAGAAAACCTTGTGCAGCCAGTGGACTTTGGTGCGTGTCTGAAGTCTGAATAAGCTACTATAACGACAATCTAATGATTGGTGATGGAGAGGATATAGTTTGAGGATTAACAACACAATTCTGATTAAATCTTTATTACATAAGGAGTTGTGTTTATACTGCATGATAACAAATATTCTGATAAAGCTCAGATCTTATAAAAGTTTACACACGTGGACGTGCAAGATGTGCAAGAGAACCCATGTAGAGTGTTATATATATGTTGAGAATCTAAAATTGTACTTTTTAGGTAGTAAAAGAAAGAAAGAATATAACAACCTTATTCTCGAAATCAAATATCTTCCTCCCTCTATTGTACTAGTTAAGTGTCCCTAAACTGAGGATTAATCCAATAAAGCAGTGTTGTTTAAATCTGGATACCTTCTGTCTTGAATTGAAGTTTGAGGTTAATTTCCAAACACACTGCAGTCGTGTTTTTCTTAGTGCGGCTAATAAAGCGTGATGGAAGAACAGAAGCACGAGGGTCGCTATCTGCAGAGGTGCCATGTGCTGTGGCTGAAGGAATATTACCTAAAATGGCTCTGGGCACGCACCTGAACCCTGTGCTCCACATTTCTACATTTACATCTTGAAATAAGTTGTTAAATTAAGTTGCCAACTCTGTGGAACTTCTAGAACTGTAGTTAAGGAAAATTCCCGATGAGGAATGCAAATGATCGGAGACTGGATTTATTCAGGCCTAAATAACTGGTTTCTAGGAACGTTTCTGTGTTTTATCATTGTGCTGTGGGCAGTGACCTTCACTACTGCCAGCCTCTCATCGGGAAAAGAGAGGGGTCAGGAGTGAATGGGAGGGAAATAAAAGAGGGGAGATACAAAGAGAAGAGCAGAGCAGATGAGCGCATGGCTGGATGTACACAGTGAATGTTGGAGAAAATTGGGGAGAGGCAGGCGACGGGAGATAGCGAGGGCAGAGTGGCAGCAAAATGAGATGGGGCAGAAAGGAGAGGGATGAAGGAGGGAGGGAAAATTGGAGAACAGCAAGGCAAGGTGGTGGAGGAAGAGCTTTTCCTCCCAGTCGTCTACTGTATCCTCAAAGCTGCTTTCATCCACCCTCACATCAACAGCCTTAGGTTGAGAAACCCCTCTGCAAACTACACACACTTACACACAGACACACACTCATCATGCCAAAAAGCGAACCTTAACAGTAATCACCAGTCTGCGGTTTGGCATCGTACAAAACCTTTTTTGTTGTTTGTTTGTTGCTACAGGGAACTGCTGAAAAAGGAATACGAGGCACCTAAATAGGTTTCTGCTAATTGTGGTCAAATTCAGCCTCGCAAGCCAGCGGAAAATAGAAGCTTCTCTGGCTTACGAAATAAAGCCGAAATGATTCGTGTTTCTTTGGTTCTGCAGGAAATCAAAGGGGCCACTTCCTCCAAAATCTTAACAACAGAAAAGACAAACGTGAACATGAAAGAAAAACATATACGGTATCGCCCGCATTACCATAATGGCATTACATAGAGTGAAATAAAATGTTAGCAGATACATTAAGTATGCACACGCACGGTGACGCCTGAGTAAAGATACACAATTACATACACACAGCCTGAATAAATGCTCGGAGCAGAGCAGGAGACAAAGGAATTAAATGCAGGCTGACTAACAAAGTATGACATGTCCAAGGCCTATCACTAATTATGCCCCCGCTGCTACAAACTGTTCCCTTACTATGATCCATTGAAGCAAGAGGCAGTGGGAGAAAGGCTGCACATATTATTCCTAATAAAAGAGTATTAGTTAGTTAGACATGAACATGTTTCAGTATAAAGGGAAAAAAAACATAATTTAAATTTTAATATGAATCTTAATTGCAAAGACCACCCTGCTTTTATTATGTTCTTCAATCTGGGATTCAGATTTCAACACGACAATGTAAACCTCGAAAAGTTGCAGCGCTGCTATTGTTGCATTTCTTTTTTTTCCCCCCCACTATTTTCACAAATGCATAGAAAAAGGAAAATTGACTTACAATGAGCAGTGCATGCGTTGCTGTGAAGAACAATTTCAACAGGCTTCTCTCATGAGACCAAATAAGTAGGACAAGGTAATCATTTACTTTATGACAGGAATTTTACAAGTACTACTTACGTGATGCTGCAATAATACTATGTCGTATAAATTCCAACATTTAATGAGGAAAGAAGATTACATTTATAATCGATTACGTGGAACATTTTGTGTGATCAGCTCATAATCAGGGAAATGAAGTTGCCAAACAATGTCATGTTTATGTTTATAATGGAGGCTCTGAGTCAGTCTGATGAGTTGGATTTTCGCAAGACTAAATGTTTAAAAATAGTTTTTACTCGGTCACATCTATGCATGGGATATTAATCTATCTTCAAATCCAACAATTTTTCGTGCTGCTATTAGCATCAGTTGGTAAAATTGTCTTTGTTATGATAATGGTTTTATTCATGCATATATTCTGTCAGTCTCACTTTATGGAAAAACTTCTGGATCAAATATGTGCCTATATGACATCATGAATCTTGACCAACTCAGAAATGCTGCATCGAGCTCAAAAGACAAGGTAATGCCAGATGTTGCATATAATGTATTCAGTGGAAGCGCTCTGATAATCGAGCCTCTTGCACGGATGAATAACAGTTCCCCTATTTCAGAGATGGGCCACGACAAGAAAATACTCTTTTAATTGAATTTCCAGATCCAGAATCCGTTCAAGTCGCAATAAGAAATGCATCCCCCCCTTCTGTGATTGACTCGGGTCATTTGGGTGAAATAGAGCAAATTGTGTTTTTTAAGCTCTAGATTTCCCAAAATGCAGCTACTGTGCCGTGTCGAGATGTTGCATACGTGCTCAGCAAACACACAACTAAGACCTGGTTCGTTTCGCAAACACGCCGTACACACAAACACTGAAAACACCCACATACACTCATGTCTTTATCAGATGACCCACGTGCCCTCTTTAGATTAGTGGCACTCCTCTGGTCCTCCCTACAGTGCACAATGGGATAAAGGAGATGATGGGTGAGGCCGAGATGTAGTGGCACGCCATTTATCTTTGTCAGACGTGGTTGAACACGAGTTCTTATTGGCTGGGCAGGATTCGCGATTGCTAAAGCGGCACCCCAGTCTCCGAGACCGTGCTAATTAAACAGTGGGGATAAAAGAGCGGGGGGACGTTTTCTCGCTCTGCCCTCTGAGGCTCCACTCCTGCTGCAGCCAGCAGTAACACGGTCCTGACACTGAGCAGAAATGGAAATCCAGCTTCTAATGCCGTCTCCCAACTTTGCCATTGACTGTACTATAATTATAGCATCAGGACTGATTCTTACCTTTCAGCACTCAAGCAATCTTCCCAATAGTTCAAGAGCTGCAGGGAGAAAGAAACAAGAAAATGTTAGATTGCAGTGTATTCATAATGTTTTTATGAGAAGTTGGAAGCGTGTGGGAAAGAGTTCAAGAGGCATGCATGAAGATAACAGCTGGTTTTTTGGGGGGGTTTCTTCGTTGGGGAATATTTTTAATCAGAGCCACAACAGCATAGCGATCTGCTGCCCAGAGCTGAGCATTAATTCAGCACTGCCATTGCTTTTTATAGTGTAAAGGGCAAACATTTATTACCCACTGATTACATTTGGCAGGCACATGTGTCTGACACTTAAGTCCTTGTAATTTTCCAAGCCGTTACAAAAAAAAAAACCCCTTCTGATATTCAATCAGTGCTTGAATGTGGTATATCTCCCATGGATTTCATTGGGGCACAAAAAAAGGAGTTGGGAGAACAAAGGGGAAACGGTGAAAGCGTTTTAGTTTAGTACTAATTAAAATGTGGGGGCGGCACTTAAAAGGTCAGAGACGGACCCAAAAAAAGGAACGGGAAAGGAGCATGTCACTGCTGATTGTGTGCATGAGGCGCTCAAGGTCTCGTAGATTAACACCAAGTTCACTTTCAAAAGGGAGAATGGAGAGAGATGGGAGAGAGAATTAGTCGTGTGACAGATAAACAGCGGAGCTCCATGCTCTATTCCCTTCCTCCCCGTTTTTTTTTTTTTCCAGCTGGGAGATAAAATTCCGGCTTGGCAGTGGTTGCCAGCACAATTGATTCTGGCAGAGGAATATGACTGCAGTGAGTATGAGGGCTAAGTATCTGAATAGCTGCTGTCAAAATGCTGAAGGGGAATTTATTTTCTAGTTTATATGCAAGCTATATCATGGAGTTACGGAGACTAAATGGCTACAGCTTGATGTACAGTACGCTGCCATTTCACCGGCGTGTAATCACGGGGCTGCTCAGGCGCAGGCTTATGGGTGCCGTGCCTGGTTTCAATGAATGCAATGAAAGCATACAGTCGCTTGGATATGACAAATCCCCCTTTTCACGTTTTAGAAATACAAAATCATCTTCAAACCATTGTTATAATCGCTGTGAACTTATTCCTGCTCTACGTGTCAACTTGTTATGTGTAAAAATGAGCTTTTTGCAAAAATCTGATGTACTCGAGCTTTAAAAAAGAAAATTCCATTCTGCATTGATGCAAGCAGGGGACAAATGATATAGAGCAAAAACACAGAGGGAATTACAGAGAGCTAAGGAAAGAGGGAATTGGTTGCCCCATTGTGTCGGATCCAACCCTCCACTAATAAGGCTTCTTGACCGGTGGGGAATACGGAGAAAAGATTAATAGATCCACTCAGGCAATCAGCACGCAATGAGGGAGCCACCTGTCAGAGGTCCTGCCGCTCTTTGTAGATTTATGGCTCATAATTGGACATGAATGTAGCCGCTCTGGTGCTATCAGAGCCTCGCAGGGTCAGCCAGCAGAAGGAAATCAATCTGTTTGTTTTATGCTGAACACTGTGAAAGACTGTGGAGATGCAGAAAATAAATCCAAATAGATTTGAAGTGAAAATACTGAGACTAGACTTCTACTTGATTGTTCCTTTTTTCCCTCTGAAATCACATTTAAAGGTTCAATGTGTATGATTGAGGTGAGAGGGTTCAATTGGAAAAAAAGGTTAATATGAAATAATTCTAGTGATTGTTGTTTTCTTTACCCCAGAAATGGCCCTTTATATTTAAATGCTTTATATTTACAATTACAGAGGCTGCCATGTTTTTTACTGTAGCCCAGACTGGACAAACTTAACACCTTTTGAGCTTTTATGACAACTGAAGACACTGAACCTTTAATGATGCCCAAGCCCTGTCTTATAATAATAATAATAATAATAATAATAAAGAAATCAAATGTTTAAATATATATTATAGTATTTAAGTTGTTAGCATCACTGATATTCCTACAGGCCATTCAACTGTAGCTTTAAGAGAATATACTTAAGGTTTTTAATTGGGTAGTTTATGAAAATAATGTGCTCCTCAGCATAAACACTCCACAGAGAGCTCCGCAGAGTGTCCTCTGTTCACCTGCAGTTTGACTCCGTATCAGGTGCTGGATAACGTCTTAAATATCCCTGAATATAATGAAACTACAGCCCATATAACAAATGGGGAACTTCTGCATAATGACCTTCTTAAAAACACCATCTGTTGCACAGCACAACCACAGCAAAGCGAGATTAGGCAGTGAGGCTGAGAGAGTCGCATTACGTGACACCCACAGTGTTCCACTTCACTGTATGTGACAAAACACATTTCTTCCACGTGGCTAAGTTTGAAATGGTGTTTTACGTTCACAGTGACTTCATTGGACTAGTAATTAATAGAATGCTTAGACCTGATGGGCACAAACGCGACTGGATCACGACGAGGGAGGAGCATGGGAGCGCTGATGTTTGACGTTTTCATTTGCGTGTGTGACAGGAGATCAAGCAAAGAAAGTGATATTATCCTGTTGTACGTAAACACAGTGTGGGAGTATCGAACCCGATGAACGGTGATGATGTGCTGCCCACATAAATAACCGAGGCATGCGTTAGAACTCTATTTACCCCAACTCCGGTGTCCCTCTCCTCCCCCTTCACCTCACCAGTGCACTTCCTCCCATCCGATTCCACGTACACCACTTTTATACACTTCCATTTTTTTTTCCAGGCCAGGGTCACTGTCCTCTCAAGCCCACCCACCCCTCACCACCGCCACCATCCTACCCATCCCCTTCCTAGTCCATCTTTTATTTTATTTTTTTCCCCCTCTTTCCAAATTCTCTGTCCATTGCCCTCCTGACAGCAACACATCAACCTGGGTGCAATTTAAAAAGCCCTTCAACAGCTGCCATTCCACAGGGTTGGCTATCAGTCCAGCTGCCAAAGCCCAGACAGGGACTCTGCTTCAGCAAGCAACTTTGAACGTCAGGTTGGTTTCCCCCCCCCCCCCCACCAGTTCCAAATGGACCGAAGGTGAAAGACTCTATTTCTCAAAGATTGGCTCAGCTGAAGATGGGGTGACTGAGGGGGGCATCGCTACTTCCTTCCTGACATGTTGCCGCCGACATCTGGCACGCAGTGTTGTGGTACAGAGAGACATAGTTGAGTTTTACGAGGGCTGATGAATATGATTCTAATGACACCAGCATGAAGTGGCGTCTTGGATTATACTTGTAAACAGTGTGAGGCTTTGGGGGAAAAAAGAAAAGGCTCATGGGAGAGTTGTGCAAGGGGGAATATTTGAGGCTCTTTTGAGATTTATTACTTGCCTCTGTGTCTGTGTTTTGGAGCTAAAGCAGTGTGTGTGAATGTGTGTGTGTGTGTGCGCGCTCGCCTGGCTGCATGTGGACACTGCATACATTGCTTGCCCGTGTTGCCTGAAACAATGAAGTGAAAACAGCTCAGGCTCGAGGCTGGGCAGCCTGCTGCTGTGCACTTCTCTCCACCATATGTCTTTGTCAAAAATATTTGCTGTGCGCCGAATGAGGGATGAAATCAATCCAAGAGCTTTTTTTTCCCCCCAGTTGCTTCTTCTTGAAGGAAGCAAGACAAAAAAAAAATTATACTGATACTTGCCAGATCAGCCCACATTGTCAAATGTAACAACTGGCCACCAGTGACACTCGCAGACAAACCATCTGGTCTCGAGTGACCAGTAGTCGTTTAGGGAAAGAATGGGATGGCTGCGGCCTTTCTCTTGTGTCAATTAGCAACTGGAAGCGATGGATGTGAGAACTGCTGTGGCGTTATGGACCAATCAAAGATGTGTGCTATGTGCCAGTAGGGAAATGTGTTGAGGTGGTCCGCAGGCACCAGTGCAGTAAAATTTTTCACTTCGAATGACTGAACAGATGTACATGCTGGCCTCCGCTTTCCTCAGTTTCACCCACTCAGCTGGACTTGTGGTTCACTATATCTGCACTGCCTGGAGATAAAATCAACAGCGCAGTGAGTCTGGTAACACCGACTATGGTCTGGTCATAAAAACTCTGTTAAAGTTGTATTAAGTATTGAGCTTTTTAAAATGCTATATAGCCGCTTTAAATTTTGATATTTGGTCATATGCAAATATCCAGCAGTCATCCAAATTGCCACTGCGGATGCTGAGGTCAGTTCAGTAAAAGACGATCTCAGCTGAATTATGTAAGTACTGCATAACTGAAGGAGTGACGTTATTTTCAACTGCAGCTTCTGGGCCGGCCACAGCCATTGTACCGGGATTCATGCTGTCCACCAAAGCTTTTAGTCTGTTGTGTAGCAGCATCACTTTTGCCCAAAGACATAAGACCACATGAACAAAAGCTCCAGTTGGCTGGGTCACGCTGCGATGTACCTGGGGGATGTCTCGCATGTTTTGCACGGACGAGGTAGGGAAATTGTTGGGTCCATTAACCTGAGAGAGGGCTGCAGCTTCCAAGCTGAAAAATGGCCCTGAGCAAGCTGGCATTATGGGGAGGCATCTTCCCCGATTCCCATTCACCAAAGAAAGTTAATGGACTTGAAGTGGGTCGTCTCGACTGAAATTAAACCTGATGCCAAAGGAAAGGCTTTGATGTTGCAAAGATTAAGCAATTGTTGTAATCGCGTGTGCAAATCCTGACTAGAGAGAAACCTTTTTTTTTAAAGATTTCTCAGTCTATCAGAGGCTTTACTCTGATAGCGTAGGAAAAATATGGTTTCTGTTTGATCGTGAATCATGACTGTGTTCAGGTGAATGGGGCGCATCATCTAAATTGATTATAAGAAAGATACATCGTTTGTTTTAGCAGGTGAAAGGGAAGCACTCGGAAAATACACAGAAAAGCAAGATTTTTAAAAAAGAGACCAGATTTTATGATGGGATCCACTCTGTTCTTTAGAGTTTTTCTATTTGCAGCATATAGGTCATGATCCTTTTCCAAATATTTTTTTCAGGAACACTTTTAGCATAGTCATGTGTGTCTAATTTCCCCCCCACTCATGTCTGCAGCTCTAACAGCTCCTCTT